TTTTAGACACTAGCTAACTTAAGAACCTACCTCATTTATCTTATTAAGGAATAGTAAAAATATATAAGAGCAATACCAAACTTCTTCATAGCACAAGAACTTGGTATTAGGAATAACATAAAAAAAAACAACGAGCTACTTTACAAAGAGGAAATGGAAGCCTGAGCTTGTAACTTTTGATTGGTTGCATCGCAATTATATAGAAATGCTTCCGAGTGAAAATTTAGCTGAAAAGTCAATATCAGAAATGAGAACAGCAAGACCCAAGGTCTACGCATGAATGGTAGTCAGATCACTCAAGTCCTAGTGCTTTCATTAGCATCATTTTCATGTAAGTACTTCAATTCTCTCTGAGATCATTTATATTCAAAAGGGGGCACAAGAACCAGAAAGGAATAATAAGCAAGCTCATCAGAATATGACCTTATGTAGCCTATCCAGCTTCTCTTGCCTTAATGATTGAATCACACTAGTTAATCGAGCTAGTGTGTCATTGCTTATGCTCTTTGACTTAGTATGATCACTTAAGCTGGGATGGATATCAGCAACAGTGTTGGAGAAATCGATTGACATTACAACTGACAGCTCGTGAATTTTGCCGAGAGAGCTGCTGACCTTATGCAGACGCAGATTCTGAAAATCAGACAAGGCAAGAATTGTGAACATGAAGCGAAACTAGGAAAAAATGACAAGTCAAGGAAATAGTGACCTTTAGAACCTTTTCAGTTTGGAGTTCGTTGAGGTGTGACTTGAGTTCGCCCAATTTCTTCACAGTCAAATCACGTTCATCAATTTTCGGATCAACGGTGTTGATATCATTTCCTGCTATTTCCGCACAGATTTGAGCAATCTGCAACTGAGTCTTATGAAACTCGCTCATCCGTGCTTGTTTCCTCTGCCTCAAGTCTTGCAAAGCAGGTTTGAGGGCGGATAACTGCTGCTTCAAAGAGCCCTTTACGCTCTTCAATGGACAAAAATCAAAACCCCCGAATGAGAACAATAACAAAGCTGCAACAGTGAGTACAAAGTTATTGGAGGGACTGTGCAAGGCAAACAAACCCGAGGAAATGAGGCAGTTTCCCCAAGAGCAGAAACAAGGACGCCAATTTCAGTTTCTCCGTCAGCCAATGACTGAGCCAACTCAGCTTTGTGCTTCCTGCTGGAGTCGACTTTTCTCCGGTAGATATCAAGGCATTCTTGTTCAAGTTGCTGAAGCATCCTGTCCCTATCCCCGTCCTCCTCCCCAATTTCATCCCATATTACCTTCGAAACAACACATTTCATCAGAGTCAGCCAAAAAGAGAAGTTAGAATCAAGCTCAAATCTGACATCTCAGACACAAGATCGAGCGAATTGACCCCTTGGCGACCCAAAAGTAGGCCTAATTATCAACGGAGCCAGAGAGGGGGGCGAAACAACTTATTTCGACGCTAATTACAGGTACTGAGACAAAGGCAAACTGGAATCCATCTTTTAGCAGGAACAGAGATAGCCATTGTGACAAAGCGGAAACGATAGCGCAGGAATTTTGACTACAATAGCCGCCGGAGAGAGAGAGAGAGAGAGAGAGAGAGAGAAAGAGAGAGAGAGAGAGAGAACCTGCAACTGGCGAAGGAGAGAGGCGCAAGTGGTCCGAGAGGGAGAGACGAGAGCGGGCGACGTCGTCATTGTCGGAGGAATGACGCCTGATTTGGAGAATGGAGAGTCTGGAGTAGGGGAAATTGGGAGTGAAAGAAAGGAAATGGAGCACGAAACCCTAGAATTCCAGGGAGAGCGTTATAGGCGCTCCTTGTCGTCAGTGGGACTGGAGTTGGGCGGCTGATTACTGGGCAGCGGATTTTTGTTCGCAGTTTTGATGAGAGGGAAGATCCCGATTATTCTTTTTTCTCATTTATGACAGAATCCCTTTTCCAAATAAAACGTACAGATTTTGAGTCACGATTTTGGCGCCACAACGGCCCCATTTTACATTTTTTATTGGCATAATACACCTGTATAGCCAGAATTTTCGACTTTATGACAATAATAGCCAAATTTTAAAAAATACACTAAAATAGCCATTTCGTCAAAAGTTTAACAGAATTATCATTGATGCTGACTGGACTAACGTTGACATTGTGATTTTCTTCGAAAGTCATGCCAGGTGGAAATACTCAAATACTCCAAAAAAATAAAGTAAATAAATAAAACAAAAAGTTGCATCTCCCCCTCAACGCATCTCCTTCTCGACGAACCCCTCCACCGACCCATCTCTCTCTCCGACGTTTGGGGCTCCTCCTTTTCTTCTTCCTCTTCTAGCGTATTCATCTTGTTCGTTTCCTCGACTTGTTGGTATCGGCGTTGCCGCTTCATCCACCCTTCTCCCTCTGTTCGTCATTCAGATCTGAGTGAAATAGATCGGAGAGAACGAGAGCAACTCGGCAGCGTCGATCGTCGAGACGTTGGCGTGAAAATCATAGGAAAAACACCTTTTCAACGCCATCATCAACATCAAGCACGAGGGATCCTTGTTGATAGAAACCCAACCACCGCCAAGGCTCGGCTGACTCCGACATCTATTTTCATATCCGGTCGTGGTCATAGAGGTGTGGGGTCTGTATCTGCCTATCGTCTCCAGATCTGCCACCGCCTCTTCCAATCTCCTTCACCGAGGAATCCAGAGCTTGTCGGAGAGATTGAGACCGTCCTAGTCCTCTGGGCCGCCGCTACCCTGTATCAGATCTGCATCAAAATTGGGACTTTTTCAAGTCTTGCTTTCTTGCCTGATTGAATGTTGGATTCGAAACTGAAGGGTTTCTATGTTGTTTGAAGTGGGCTGAATTGATCTTCAGAGGTGATGATGTTGCAGCCGTATCAGCGGTGGGGATGGGGAGTTGGAGAGGAGGAAGAGACGGGAGAGAATGAGGTTGTGGAGAGCGGCGACAGCTTCGACGATCGAGAAGGATAGGTCGGGGATTCAGGAAGAGCGACGACCGTCAGTTTGGTGGAAGGGGTGAGGATCGAACAGCTGGGATTAATGGTCAATTTCATGGATGGGAAGGGTTGTTGAAGAAGGTGTTTGAGGGGAATAAGCTTGACGGGATTTGTGGAGTTCATCTCCATTGATGAATTCAAAAGCTCTCATGTTCTTCTTCTCCTAATTGCACCATCGACGAACACAGAGAGATGGAAGGGTTCTGTGTGTTTGAGAAAGGACACAGAGGCTTTTGAGAAAGCTGAAATTAGTGTTTTTGTTTTTCTCAATTATTTTTTTAAATAATTTTTTTAATTTAAAATATGACGTGGCATCTAAGTGAGCACTACATGTCTAGTTGGAGATGACGGGCTATCCAGGTGGCATCCACATCAGCGTAAAGTCTATATTACTAACGGAGTAACTAACGGTGTTAAAGTTTTTAACGAAAATGGCTAAATTTGTCAAACAAGTTTCGAAAGTGTGGCTATATTTGTGTATTTTTCAAAATTTGGCTATTATTGTCACAAAGTGTAAATTTATGGCTATCCAAGTGTATTTTGCCTTTTTTATTTGTTGAATAAAATGGTTAATATCGCAAGAGGGCTCAACTTCGTCCAAATTTAGCGTTTGTAGCACAAACTTTTCGAAAATCATATTTGTGGCTCGAGATTTTGTGTTTTGAATTTTGATGATATTTTCATTTGAGGTTGACTAATGACTAGATGTCCAAGATTAGGTGTTAACACCTAATTTGTTAGTATGGTGTTAGACTGCTAGTATTAGTCTCAGCTAATTGTAACATTTTATTTTAATAACTCTTTTTATTTTTAAAGAGTTTACATGTATATTAGTTGACAGAGATATCAATACAGATTACGTTCAATTTTCTACAACAAATTCTCTCTGCAATATTCCTAACATGGTATCAGAGCTAGCAACGTTCAGCTAGATCCGACTCACCATCATCTCCCATTTTCAACTTGTGCCTTAGACCATTCACATCCATGAAATATAATTTCTATTTCATATGTGGCCCCTACTGCCACCTCAACACTTTTACAATTCCACTAGATACCTATTTCATTTTCTCTACATCAATGACATTCCGGGTTAATTGCATGGTTGGTCACTGAGATTACAAAAAACGTTCACGTTTGGTCACTGGAAATATTTAAATCCAATCTTGGTCACTCAAATTATTTAACTGGTTCAAGTTTGGTCACTCTCCGTTCATTTCCGTTAACTCTAGGTTACGTGGCAGTCAATTTTCATAGTTGACCGTTAAATATGTGACGTGGCAATTAAAAAATTATTGAAAATAAAAAAATAATCTTTTACATTTTCCACCTCATTATTACATTAATTAAAAAACAAAAAAAAATATTTTGGCTGGAAGACCTCTCGCATCTCACCTTGCCGATCTGCGATGCCGGAGTTGTGAAAGGGTTCGAAGGGAAGCAGCAATTTCAGCTTCTCGGCGGCGGTGCTAACTCTGTCGCCGGCGAATTTCAACGTATGAGTTGATCAGCCCCTTGTACACGTCGCCGAAGCCTCCCACTCCGATGATGAAGTTGTCGTCGAAGCCTCTCGTTGCGGATTTCATCTCCGAGAGAGAGAATCGGCGGCAAAGTTCCGAGGGGAGATTTGAGGTGGATGTCTGGTTGGTTGATGCGAAGGAAGAGTATGGTAGCATTGATTTGGAAGCCGATCCGGCGCCGATGTAATTCGATGAGGATTTGGATTTCCGCGTCCGCCGTAAGATGAAGAGTAGCAGGAGAGAGACCACGGCGAGACCTAACACGACGCCGCCGGCGACAATGAGGATTAATCTAGTCGGGCTGGAAGTCGAGGAGGAGGAAGACGGATCCAGCGACGATGGGTTGGGTGGGCGGTCGGAATTCGGTCCGGCCAAACTACCCGACCAGCTCAATTTGTAGATCTCAGCTCCGTTCAGAATCGAATTGTAGTGGGCGCTGTTATCTGGGAAAGGATGCAGAGCAACGAACAAGGGCAATTTTCTTCTTCTCTTCCTCAGCTTCAATTCTCACCAAGTAGTCTTTGAACATGGTGAATCCATTCCCGCGACTTCTTGAATCACATCCGTATAAGACCCGGTGGTTCGATTTGCGATGTAGATCCAGAAAGCCCTGTTATCCCGGCCATTGATAGGTGGCTGAATCTCACAAAAATGGGGCCGAACAAAGTATGTAAACGAAGGATCGACGGGGAAACTCCATGTGAGATTGTACTGCAGGTTCAATTCGCTGATGTTCGACATCGCCCGGGCAGTTCTGTAAACGGTCGCCGGCGCGACGAGCTTATGGATCTCGTTTCTGTACTGCAGCTGAATCGAGTCGTTACTGTAAATGGAGTTCAGGGGAACCGAGTCATTGTAGTAAACAGAGCTCGGAGGAGGATCGATGTTGAGGTATTTATCGTCGGGGCTCCATTGCCGATACATCCCAGTGCCGCCGTCGGGAGAGATACCTTGCCCGGCGACATCGATTTTGTACATCAGCTGCAACGCGGTGTCGTTTCGAATACTGCCCTGCTGATTGGCGTCGGTGGCAGAGAACACGGTGTAGACAAGGACGAAAGTGCCGACGATTTCAGCACCAAGGTCGTCTCCTTTTGTGTAGCCGCCGGCGACAGAGTTAGCACCGCCGCCGAGAAGCTGAAACTGCTGCTTCCCTTCGAACCCTTTCACAACTCCGGCACCGCAGATCGGCAAGGTGAGATGCAAGAGGTCTTCCAGCCAAAATATATTTTTTTGTTTTTTAATTAATGTAATAATGAGGTGGAAAATGTAAAAGATTTTTTTTTTATTTTTAATAATTTTTTAATTGCCACGTCACATATTTAACGGTCAACTATGAAAGTTGACTGCCACGTAAGCTAGAGTTAACGGAAATGGACGGAGAGTGACCAAACTTGAACCATTTAAATAATTTGAGTGACCAAGATTGGATTTAAATATTTCCAGTGACCAAACGTGAACGTTTTTTGTAATCTTAGTGACCAACCATACAATTAACCCATGACATTCCACTTTCTATTTCATATGGTGGCCCCAATTGATATTTTAGTTTAATCTTTAGTCTTAACTAAATGTTCCAACCATACAAAAGTATAAAAAAAAAATTCGGCAAAAGTGGATACGGGACCCGCTAGTTTACCCCACCATCTATTTCATTTCCTATGTCACTAAATGGAAGATTTCATTGTTGAAACCATGGACCACATCCATGAAATAGCTATGTAATGATGCCACCTCACAATGAAATAGGCTTCTGAAAGCCGTTGTGGATGGTCTTAGCTCTATCTTATCACCACTATGCCAGAATCTACTGTTTTCGCTGCCACTTCAGCCTCTCCAACAGAAGATGTCATCGTCACATTCAATCCTGTAGCCCAGTTGCCCCTCAAGCTGAATCCCACGAACTTCAGTGACTGGCGATCACAACTGGAGACTCTACTCATGGGGTTCGACCTCATCAGTTTCATCGATGGCACCGGTGTTGTTCCTCCCAAAATGCTCACCGAGAACAACACCTCAGCCGCCAATCCTGCTTTCCATCGATGGTTCAGGCAAGACAAGCTCATTCTACATGCCCTTAGATGCTCTATCTCAGAAGCCTTATATTCCTTTGTATCTGCTGCTGTTACATCACGTGAGGCCTGGGTGATTCTGGAAAAATTATATGCTGGGCGTTCTCAGTCTCCTATTATTAACTTGAAAGGCAAATTGGCAAGCACAAACAGGGGTAATCGAGATGTCCTCACTTATGTAAATGAACTCAAGTTGTTTGCAGCTGAGTTAGCTCTTGTTGATGAGCCTGTCTCGGACTTGGATCTCGTCGTTCATTGCCTTCGGGGGCTCGGCGATGAAAGACCAGGCTCGGTTGGACTCGGTCCCCACTGCGTTTTACACAGGGAAATCTCGCCATGGAGGAAGCGGAAGCGGCAGCAGCGTCATCCCTTCCTCTCCTCGCGGCGGCGGCTTTTCTTCTCGCCACCAACAGCAGGGATTAGGTTCTGGGTTTGGGCAAGGCTCTGGCTATGGCCTGATCCGCGTCAATCCATCTCCCCAGGTCGACATTTATTTTCCCCCGAACCCACACGTGCACGACGGTCCCAAGTCGTGTGTCAATACTGTGAACGGCCCGGTCATGCAGTTCGCCAGTGCTTCCGCTTATTCCCTCAGGCCCGCCAGGCCTACAATCAAATGCACTCAGCTCCGGCCCATGCCACCACAAGGCCCGCACAGGCCCATGCCACTACTGTTTCTTCTTCTGGGCCGTGGCTAATGGATTCAGCGGCCTCCCACCATGTTACAGCTTATTTGGGCTAACCTTTGTTATATTCTGATTACACAGGCCCTGATGAAATTACTGTGGGTGATGGATCAGGTTTGAAAATCTCTCACATTGGCTCTTCCACACTCTCTCTTGGGTCCAATAATTTATATTTGCGTGATACATTGTGTGTTCCAACCATTAAGAAGCATCTTATTTCGGTAGCTAAATTATGCCAAGCTAATCCGGTCTCGGTGGAATTTTTTGCTACTCATTTTGTTGTGAAGGATCTTCGCACGGGGGCTCAGCTGCTAAGGGGGGAAAACAACGGTGATGTTTATGAATTACCTAGTGAAGTGAAGGACGTTCGCCTGGCTCTTGTCACCGCTCGCACCTCTGCACCTTCTTGGCACGCCCTCCTTGGTCATCCTTCCCACTCCTCTCTCGCTAGTCTCATTCGGTCTTTTTCCCTTCCTGTTTCGACTTCCCTTGCATGTTCTCCATATGATGCTTGTCTTTCCAATAAAAGTCACAAACTACCTTTCTCTGTTTCCTCATTATCTAGCAACCGTCCATTTGATCTTTTGTATACTGACGTTTGGGGCCCTGCTCCTGTTTCCTCTATTGATGGTTATCGTTATTATTTGGTTATTATTGACCATTTTACTCGCTATACTTGGTATTATCCTTTGCGCAACAAATCTGATGTTCTCCAAATTTTTCTTGATTTTCGCAAAATGGTGGAAAATTACTTCTCCACTACCATTCGTCGCCTTTATACAGATGGTGATGGTGAATTTCAGAAATTGCGTAAGGATTTACTTCAAAATGGCATAACTCATCTCCTTACTCCTCCCCATACACCTGAACACAATGGTATGCCTGAACGAAAACATCGTCACCTTGTCGAAACGGGTATCACACTTCTTTATCATGCTAATCTTCCTACCGCCTTCTGGTCTTTTGCCTTCTCCACAGCCATTTATCTCATCAATCGCTTGCCCTCCTCCGCTCTACGTGGTAAAATTCCCTACACTCTTCTCTTCAATATTTCACCTAATTATCATAAACTCCGCATTTTTGGGTGTCTCTTTTATCCATGGCTTTGCCCTTATTCGTCACACAAACTTGATACTCGCTCAAAACCGTGTCTTTTTCTTGGCTATTGCCCTCAACGTAGTGCCTATTATTGTTTTGATCCTCTCACCCAACGTATCTATTTGTCTCGACATGTGGTTTTTGTTGAGTCTCACTTTCCAGGGCTTCCGACACTCACCTCCACTCCACCTCCTTTGGCGGCGTCTTGGCTCCATGATTTATCACCCACCATCTCCACAATTCCAGGCCGTCCATCCCCCTTCACTTCGCCAGCTGGGCCGTCTGTGGCCCAATCCCCCTCGGCGCTCACGCCTCCACCGCAGGATCCATCACCACCTGGGCCCTCTACCACCGCGTCTTCAGCTTCCCCCACGGATCCGGTCACGCCTCCACCTGGGCCCGTGCCCCCTTCTGGCCCGCCTCCACCACCTCAGCGCACACATGCCATGAGAACGCGGGCTCAGGATGGGATTTTTAAGCCCAAAAAGCGGCTGTTCCACACGGTTGTTCAGGCTGGCCCACCGCCTTTACAACCCCTCAATGTGCAACAAGCTTTATGTTATAGGGAGTGGTCTGATGCTCTCTCAGCTGAAAATCAGGCCTTATTGGCCAATTATACTTGGGATTTGGTCCCTCGGCTTCCTCATTATAATGTCCTTGGTAATCGCTGGTTATTCCGGGTCAAGTATAATCCTAATGGATCCATTGAGCGGTTCAAAACCCGCCTGGTTGCGAAGGGGTTCAATCAGCGCCCTGGCCTTGATTTCACTTACACATTTAGTCCGGTCGTGAAACCTGTTACTGTTCGGACCGTCTTCACCTTGACTCTCTCTCAAGGTTGGTCTATCGCTCAGTTTGATGTCAATAATGTGTTTCTGCAGGGTCCCTTACATGAGGAGGTTTATATGGTTCAACCACCAGGTTTCATTGACCCCGAGCGGCCTAACCACGTCTGTCGCCTCCGCCGTGCCATCTATGGACTGCGACAGGTGCCTCGGGCTTGGTATACCGAGTTAAGCTCGTTTCTCATCGAGTTTGGGTTCAAGAAGACCCACTCTGACGCATCTTTGTTTGTCTACTCTCATGGATCCACTTTGCTCTACTTCCTCGTCTATGTGGATGATCTTCTTCTCACCGGCAACGATACAAATGTGCTTCATAAATTTCAGGTGGCTCTTTCTAGTCGCTTCTCGCTCAAAGCACTCGGTGATGTCATTTATTTCCTGGGTATCGAGGTCATTCCCACCCCCACAGGTTATATACTTTCTCAACATAAATACATGGTGGATGTGCTTCAGCGATTCCTGATGACCGATGCCAAGGCTGCCGATACGCCATTAGCATCCACGACATCTCTCACTCTCCAGGATGGTAATGCACCCAGTGATGCTACTCGGTATCGTCAGGCTATTGGGGCTCTCCAGTATCTTGTATACACTCGTCCGGATATTGCTTATTCTGTTAATAAGCTCTCCCAATACATGCATGCCCCCTCTACACATCACTGGCAGTGTGTCAAACGCCTACTTTGCTACATTGCTGGATCTACTACCTATGGTCATGCTATACGTCGCACCACCACTTCTTTGCCTATAGTGGCGTTTGCCGACTCCGACTGGGCTGGGAATCTTGACGATCGCTCCTCCACCTCCAGCTATCTTATCTACTTGGGGTCCACCCTCATCTCCTGGAGGTCCAAAAAACAGCGGAGTGTTGCTCGCTCCAGTACCGAGGCTGAATATAGGGCCATTGCACATACCGCTGCTGAGTTAGAATGGGTTCGAAACCTCCTCCTTGAGCTACACCATCCTCTGCCCAGTACACCGACTATCTATTCCGACAATCTCGGTGCCACTTACTTGAGCTCCAACCCAGTGTTTCACTCCCGCATGAAGCACTTGGCCTTAGACTATCATTTTGTTCGCCAACTGGTTCAGGATGGTCGCCTCTGTGTGCAATATGTTCCCACTTCACATCAGCTCGCCGATGCCCTCACCAAACCTCTCCCATCGACTCGCTTCCATCTGCTTCGATCCAAGATCGGCGTCGTTGATAGCTCCTCCGTCTTGCGGGGCGTATTAGAGAAAAATCATAAAAGAATTTTCTTGTTTATTTCTTCTCCCTCACGTATTTTATTCCCCACTTACATTCTGCTCCTATACTCAAGGAACATGGGTCATTTGGTTAGCTAGAAACTCTCATTGTACATGTATATTAGTTGACAGAGATATCAATACAGATTACGTTCAATTTTCTACAACAAATTCTCTCTGCAATATTCCTAACATACCACACTTAATGTTGATTTTTACAAGGAGGGTATGCTTGTCAATTAATTATGTGTCCCGCCCTCCCCACAAGTATCATGAATCATACCTGCATGTTGTTTACCTCATTCACTTTTGTGCTTGAAAGATTGGATAGCAAGTGTGTAGCAAAGAAAGTGTGCTTTGAATGTTGTTCATGATTGGTTGCGGTTTGGGGTAGTGGGAAGTGTGGTTTTTGGCCGATGCTAGCTGTCATTGCTTGTAGAAGAAGGTTCTAGTCGTAACCATAGAACATCGTGTTGGCTTTAAGTTGAACATGTGAAACCTCATGCTATGTTTGCCACCACCCAAAAAGCTTTTTTCCCATGTCCAAGAACCTAGCCAGTCATCTGAGCCCGAGTCTAATACCTCCGGACAAGCTAGTGATGACACTCATCTTGTGAGCTCTAGCATTTATAGGTTACTGTCATGGTGAATAGATGATAGGGGTGAGTGTTGAGTATGCACATCTTTTGCATAAAAATGGTCCTAACTCCACCGGTCGAGAGTGAGTGATTCATTCATCTTATCTTGTTCATATCATACCCCGGTGAGGACCTAGTTTGCTCATTCATTTGTTCCTATGACGTGATCTTTATGCATGGATAACTGTGGTTGGTGAGTCGTCATTGCATGATATGTTTTGGTTTGTGAACAGGGTGAGAACTTTTTGTTTTGCACGTTCTTAATGCATTCGAATGCCATTTGTGGTGGTTGACAGGCTTGCTTGTTGTTGTCCATATGTCGGTGTCAAATAGACATTTGAGATTCATCCACTTTGTGCCTTTTGACATGTCCCTAGGTTATGATGTTTAGGTTGAAATATTACCTTGTTTGAGATTGGTTTGCTTGGGGACAAGCAAACGTCCAAGTGTGGGGGATTATGATTCGGGCTTAATTACACATGTGTTTCACCCCATATTCTTGTGACATTTGAGGCATTTACATCGCCCGAGTTCGATTTTACGTTAGGTGTGTGCATGTTTTAGCATGTTTCAAGTTTTAGCAAGTGGGATTGACCTCGGAAGAGAAAGTCCGACGATAATGTCGTATTTGCACATGTTTGCACCCTTGTTTCTTAATCGCTTTGGCTCGAATTTGTGTTTCCTTGTCCTATTTTACACTAGGTTGTGCTTTTTGTCACATTTTAGGTCCTAGCCGTTGAACGAAGGTTTAGGCGTGAGTTTCGGGTGATTTGGAGGTCATTCAGCGAAGCTAGAGTAGAACATGGTCGTCCCTTGCCTAGTACACGATCGTGTTTCACACGGGGTGCACCCGTGCTTTTTAGTGCGAGAGTGTTCTCGTCTTAGGAGCAAAGTACGGGCAAGAACACGCTCGTGTCCACAAAGAGTCGCGCCCGTGGATTTTACGTCGAGGGTTGGATCGTGAAGGCTGATGAAGAATGGAAAGCACGAGCAAGACCGGAGAAGAACATGGTTGTGTTAATCATTGGTCATGACTGTGTTTTGCGAGGCAATCGTGTAATTCCCCGCCTCCAGCTTAAGTTTTCCACGTGACGTGATCAAAACATGGGCGGAAACGGGCAGAATACGGTTGTGTTCCCAACCGTGTTTCACCCAATTTCGGGTTAAATAGGCAAATTCGAGCCAAATGAAGGGGATTTGACTTTTTGGAGTAAAAACAGAGTTCTAGAGAGAGAAAGTGACGAAGAACAAACCATATGAGCTATTTGGAGTGGATTTCTCACCATTGAAGCCTAGATCGCGTCTCTAGGAGTGAAGATTAACATCCCATATAAGATTATTCCCATTTTTATGAGTAAACTGTTTTGATGAATGTTTTCCCCTCTCTCTCTATGGAGTCGACCTTTCTCTCACTTGGGTATGAAGAACCCTAGTTTCATGTGTTAGGGATCTTGCTTGTAATGACTTTTAGGATGATATACTGATTGGTTTTAATCGATTGAAGTGTGTTTATTGAGTCAATTGAATCCTGATCAACTTCTCTTGATTTCTGCTTCAACTTATGATAGATAGAATCTGGTTAGGTTGTTAAAGGTTCTTCAATAGATAGGAGTGAATTGATTGTACGAGAGTCCGTCAATTCACTGCTTTGTACTGGAATTCATTTCGAGTAGTGGAGTTCTAAGTGAATTGCCTTAGCATTATATCCCGGTGAAGGCTAGTCGCTTGTCGGATAGTCTGTCTAAGAGGGCTTGGTTAGTTACTTTCGGATTTTCCGCAGTTTAATCAACAGTGAATCAACTAAAGGGAATTACAACTTGAACCTAATTAAGGAGCTAGTTGGACTCATCCCGAGTGACGCTTCTCTTGCTTTCCTTCCATTACCAACACATATCTGATTGAATTACTGGCCATTCGGGAGGTGCTCTACTTGCTGTTGTGATGGGGTTGGACGTCTCGGAATATTTTGGTAACAAGTGATGCACTACATGTTATTCAACAATTGAACGGTGGTAGTATAACAGATGCTCGTGGTGGCACAATTCTGCGTGAAGTTCATAGTCTTATCTCTCATCTTCCATTACTTAATTTACGTTACATTCCTCGAGAAGGGAATCGGACTGCCCATTTGGTGGCACGCAATGCCCTTCGTTATCCTGGGATACTTCATGGTTTGTATGACTTTGGGTACATTATGCATCTTTAATTTGATAGAGGCTTTCGTGGATTGAGAAACCCCACCCTTGACTATTTTATCCGCAAGGATAATAATGGGAAAAAAAGGGTAAATACAATTTAATATCCAAACCTTTCATTTTAAACAATATAATAGCCAAATCTTTTCGAAAACAATCTAATATCCAAATCGTCAACTTTTCGTCCGTTTGACCGTTGGTTGACACTTCAAAAAAACTTTGTTTAGGGGAAATTTTCACAATACAACTTTGTTTTCTTGTTTTGGCATTGCAGATGACTGAATATTCAGATATTCTATACCATCATGGTGGAGTCATGGACTTCTCGGGTTTGGAACCACGATATGTTATTGGTTTTTCAGAGAAGATATCAATGGATATTGATGAAACGTCGTATTTCGAACTTTTTTGAAGTGTCAACTAATGGTCAAACGAACGAAAAGTTGACGATTTGGATATTAGATTGTTTTCGAAAAGGTTTGGCTATTATATTGTTTAAAATGAAAGGTTTGGATATTAAATTGTATTTACAAAAAAAATATTAAAGTTCGAACGTGGTAAAAAAAAAAGAAGTTCGAACGTGGGTTGAAGGCGGAACAGAACGAAGGCCCAATTGGCCCCAGCCGAACTGCTGGCGCTGGGCTACTGCTGTTGCATGGGCCACGGAAATGGTGAAGGCGTACGACACCGTTTGCTTGGGTGTAATGTTCTGGACTTCTTGTGCCTGGTGGTGGAATCTAAATGACACGTCACCCCCGCCCTCCTCACGAGACAAAACCCTGCAATTCAATTCATCCCCACTTCAACCCTCATTCCGTTTCTTTCCCTCTTTTTCAAGTCTACCAATGGAGAAGCCGCGGCAGCAACAGTCATCACCAGAGCTCCCACCTCCGACGGAGCCGAACCCGGGTCAAAATCCTGGCGAAGAAGCTCAGCGTACAAAGGTCGTACTATGCGTAGAATGCAAAAATACGGCGGCAAAATACAAATGCCCCGGCTGCTCTCTACAGACCTGCAGCCTCCCTTGCGTCAAATCACACAAGCACCGGACTGGCTGCTCCGGCAAACGCGACGTCGCCCCTTTCGTTCCCATGTCCCAGTTCGACGATGAAACCCTTGTCTCTGGTACTCATTTCTTCCCACTTCACCCTTTTTTCCCAATAGGAACTGAATTTGCTAGCTTCGAATGGAAAGTTCTGCCAAGTTTTGATTAGGCCTATGTGTTGACTACGTGGCTCGTAGATTATAACTTTCTCGAGGAAGCGAAGAGAGTGGTTGATTCAGGTCCAAGGATGAGAGCTCAATTACGTGCTTACTCTCAATTTCGGTTGCCCTTTCACCTTCAAAGCCTTAAGCGTGCTGCATCAAGTCGCAGAACAACGCTCCTTCTTCTCCCTAGTGGAATGTCAAGGAGGGAGAAGAACAAAACTCGCTATGACCAGAGGTAACAGCTGTTTGCAAAGAATGGCTCTTTGTGAAAATTTAGGACTTTGTGAGTGCTGATTCTTTATGCGTGTATGTATGTATCTGTTCTGTTTCTAAACGAGTACTAATGTTCTGACTACTTCGAATGACATTTTTCAGGAAGAAGTCTATCTTCTGGACCATAGAATGGAGGTTTTACTTAACTGGTGTTGTTTTGTTTGACCATGGGTAAGCTGTACTGTATTTGTCTGCAGAATCCTTTTTACTCTCTCAAGTTCTTTTGTTATACTTTTCCATGGTTGCTTAACTATCATGCATAGGCGACCCACGGTGCTTGTTTCCCATTACAGAGTAAATGAAAACACTTCTGTTTGCTCTGAGATTGAGAAGCATCTGAAGCCAGGACCATGGAAGCATAAGTTAAAGCAGTTCTCTGAAGTGGGTTTGGAGTCTCTCAAGTGCTTCATACGTAAATATCCGAAGGTATATATATGTTTAGAAAGAAAGGTTACATTTTTAGAATCACAATGCCTCCCTCGACTTTCTGATGCCTTCTACTCTCGTTTGACTTACAGGGGAAATCGCCTTTTCGGGAGTTGGACATAAAGGCCCCTTTAAAGCAGCAGCTAGGGAATCTAAGTGTGTTGGAGCACCCTGTCATCTATGTTCTTCTCCCTTCTCAAAGTTATGATTTTGAAGTCGTAAAAGACTTCATTCCAATGGCTAGTAGGCAGGAAGCTAAGAGTTGTGTGAGTAATGATGGTCAACTGATGATCCCCAAAGGTGTTGCATTCCGCGAGGAAGAAATTATCGAAGAAGAAATAGAAAATGGTCCTTCAGCAGGTACCCAGGTTTGTGATCTTCCTGCAAAGAGCAATCCTCAGAAAGCCACGGAAAATACAGCTGAGGAGGATTCGTTGTTGGCAACCGATTCACATTCTTGCTTAAAGGACACGCGACCTGGAATATTTGATGATATGGATTTCGATTTTGACCAGAGCCTGATAGATAAGTATTCAGATATAGTTGCAGAGATCAATACGGATGACTTTCTTGATTTTGAAGGTGATTTGTCCATGGATATGGGAGGTGGGTTCAATATGATCTCTGAAGAGTTAGAAGAAGGGGAAATTGCTGATTAAGGGGAGATCCTGAATTGGACCACCAGAACACCATCATAGTCCTAACACGAACTTGTGATCGGTACTAGACTCAGGTCACTCTTGATGCTGGTAAGAGATCGAGTGATGGTCACCATGGGCAACGGATGAGGGGCTTGATTTGACACAATGTTGGTTTTTGTTCTTTGTCGACTTCATCTGGCTGTGTCCAACTTCCATGGTTGTGGCCTTCCTCTCTCGTGATTCTGCTGCTTGCATCAGCCATGTGATGATCCGGGAAAGAACGTGGATGTTGTAGGTTGAGTGAGTGGTGATTGTATCCATGCCGTTCTTCCGAAGAATGCGTTACGTGAGTACATTCTCTTTTGTTTACTGTCATGCCTCTTTCGGAATCCTGTTAATTTTCTCTGATAAATAGTTTTCACAACCTTTATTCAAATGATTGAGACACAGTTTGGGAAAACAGTTGAGGTGATTTGATTATGGAGGCGAGTTTACTATTAATGAATTGATGGTGTTATATAAGACTCAGGGAATACTTCCGTAGTCTTCATGTCTTGGTATATCTCATCAGAATGGGGTGGTAGAACGTAAACAGTGCCATGTCTAGGAGCTCACGAGAACGCTCTCTTTCATTGTCGTGTTCCTATAGGTTTCTGGGTAGAAGCAATTATATTGTGAATCAGTTGATTAATCGACAAATTATGTAGTTTCTAGGACAAAGATCACCATATTACAGGCTCCGACTATTCATCTCTGTGGGTGTTTGGTGGTGTTCTTGTTTAGTCTTGCTCCCTCAGGACAGGAGTCAGGAGTGACACAAAAACTCGCTTTGAAGGCATTGAAATGTGTGTTTGGCATAAAGGATATTTATGTTACGATCCTATAGAAAAGCGCATGAGCATTGAATATCATGTGATGTTTCTAGAAACGGAGATGTACTACTCTTCATCTCATTCAAAGGCGAGATCTTCCACTTCCCTTGAGTTTTTGGCCCCATTACCATGACCTTCCTTTGATTCTGTAGGAGTGTTGACTACTCCTACTTAGGGCTGTTCATTTGGGTTTGGTTTTTCGGTTTTAACCATAACCAAACCAATTGGAAAGCTAATGGTTTTAGTTTTTCGGTTTTAAACCAATAAGCAACTTAATGGTTTTTGTTTGGTTAAAACCGAAAAACCAATAGAAACCATTAAGAAACCAATAAGAATAAAATTATTTATCAACAAACATATATTTTTTTTGGTTTCTTTTGACAGGCATGCCAACCAATAATTTGTAATGGTCATTTACCATTATTATGACGTTTATTCAATAAAAAGGAGGGAAATGAGAATAAATATGAGTGTATGAGTACATGTTGGTCAACCGAAAACCAATAAGGGCCTTAATGGTTTTGGTTTTGGTTTTTGGGATTTAATTTTTGATTTTTGGTTTTTCATACTTAATGGTTTGGTTAACCAAACCAAACCAAATTGACAGCCCTACTCCTACTGTCCCACTCAGCATAATGATTTCGGTGATATGGGCCATCAACATCCTACACGTTTGCGTCCTCTTCCGACTAAACTACACAGTTGAGTTCTTCGGCACACACCATGGGTTCCGGTACTAGTTCTTCTACAGGGTCCTCGACTGACCACGACCATGACTCCGGTTGTTCAGCGACAGGTGGTTCATCCGCATGTTCCTCTTTGTCGCTCACAAAGGGCCACTCTTGGCCAACCTTCACTACGAATGAATGACTATGTTGGCCTTTCTCCAGAATCCGTTGTCATTCCCAAATCCCAATACTTATGCAAGAGTGATCCTACCTGGGAGATGGCTATGCGCGAGGAGAAAAGTGCCTTGGATGCAAACCACACATAGAATCTCGTGCCTCGAGATCCTGAGATGTCCGTTATTGAGAGCATGTGGGTGTACACGATTGAAATGCAACCAGATGGTGCACTAGAAAGGTATAAATCTTAGAGTAAGGTTTTAGATAGGAGTATGAGATTGATTATGAAGAAACCTTCGCTTCCGTTGTGAAGACGCAGACTGTACGGTGTGTGATGGTAGTTGCGGCTATGAAGGTCTGGTCTCTACGTCAACTGGATGTGAAGAATGCTTTTCTTGTTGGTGATCGTAAAGAGACGATTTACTTGGAATGACCATCGGGCTATGAGAAGGGTGCCCAACTATAGTGTGTCGACTGGTGAAGTCGTTGTATGGGTTGAAGCAAGCTCTTAGGGCATGGTTCGAGAAATTTCTTGGGACGATCCTACATGTAGGGTTTTGCAGACCCAAAATGGCCGATACATTTGTTCGGTCTACTATGAATGAAATTGTGATCTTACTAATCTATATCGATGACATGATTGTTACCGGTAGTGATTCGAATGGAGTTCATGAGGTTATCAAGGCTCTGCGACGGTTCTTCAACTTACAAGATCTAGCAGAGGTTTCATACTTTCTCGCCTCAGAGGTACATAGATCGACATCTGGTTTGTTTGTATCTCAAAGAAAGTATATCTTGGATTTGATGAAATCCTCACAGTTGAGAACTGCACTCCGTGTTCTACACATATGGAGCAGAACTTGAAGCTGTGTCGGGATAGTGGAGACTTACTAGAAGATCAATCGCTTTTATAGGGAGCTTGGTGGGTAGTTTGATCTATCTTACACATAGAGACCATACATTTCTTATACGGTTCAGGTGGTTAGTCAATACTTGAGAATATCCCGCATGATATATATAGCAGAGGTACACAGGCTGTTGCAGTACTTGAAAGAAACGCAAGACTTGGGGTTATTCTATTGTTCCCAAGGAGAACCGGTAATTGAAGCATTCGGAGATGCCGATTATGCAGGATGTAAGGATACAAAGGAGGTCGACGTCTAGGTGGTGTAAAAGAGTTGGTCAGTCCTTTATATCATAGAGGTGCAAGAACTAGGAGAGAGTTTTGAAGTCCTCCATTAAAGCGAAGTACCGCTTGATGTGAGAGGCCAGCTCCGAGTTGGTTTGGTTATGTCGGTGAGTTGGACTTCAAATGTCGTGTGTCGATGAGTGTGTATGAGGATAATACTAGTACGATACAGATCACACTCAATCTAGTTTTGCATGATTAGATGAAACATATCGAGGTTGACGTTCATTATATTAGGAAGCTAGTGGCTGAAGGAGTTATCCAGGTTGGCTATCTTTCTAATGAGGATCAGACGGCTAATGTAATAACCAAGATGGTGACATCCAGTAGACATTGATATGTATAATCCAAATTGATGATATGCACTCATTATTATCAATATAAGGAAGGGTGTTGAAAATAATAAAGTATAGGTACCACAATGTAAATATTTTATAGGTGTATGCCCTGCATGGTTAGGGTTAGTAAGCTGAAACTATATATATATGGTTGTTATGTGATTGTAAAGGCAAGCCATTTTGATAGTGAAGCATTGATGGAGAGCACAACCCTCATGTGGATTAGTCCTGAGTTTCAAGGAAACCACGTGAAAATCTCGGTGTTCTTTTGATTATTTGACAATAACTATCGTCTTTCAAACTAAAAGTAGTCCTGCTAATTTTTATCCTGAAAAAGAGCGAAAAAGGGGTGAAGCTATACAACTAATGAATTGGACTTGTGGAAAGAAAAGCCAAAGCCAAAGCCACAATAAATCGGTTGGATACCCAATAGGTTCCAAACCCAGGAGCACAAACACGAGAGATGCTCTCTACCCTAGCTGCTCAAGCTTCCCAAAGACACCACCGCCGTAGGAGCTACAACCGCCATAGTAAGTGACGGAAGTAGGATTTGAAACTACTCTGATCTTCTTTTCAGAATATAAATATATAATTAATTAGTATAATAAAACTACTAATATCTATAATAATTTATTTATAGATAAAGAAATAACTGACTAATACAATTATTGTTTGCATAAACGATCACGACGAGTCTTCATATTCTGAAAGAAATGCAAAATATATTAATTGTCTACACTTTTAAATAAGTTTCTTTCAATGTATCCCACTAAACAATCATTAGAAAACTGAGAGCCAATTCGACTTCGAAACTTGTTCTTAATTTAGGTCAAACTAAAACTATTCTTTTTACACTTATAATTGCTACTGGTAGAACCAAGACTAGTTTGAAAATCAAATATATTGACGGGTATGAGTGATGCACTTTTTTCTCCACCATTACTCGAGATAATTCATCATGAACAACTGTTGTCGAATAATAATATTATGAATGAAACCAATAAATTAACTAGTCTTTTTGTCATGAACAAATTATGAGTTGTGGTGTAGTAATAAAACATCCTTACCACTACAAAAAAAAGTGGTTTTAACGATGGTGAAAAACGGTCGTTAAAAGGCCAAAAACCCTCGTGAAAAGCTATTAACGAGGGGAAGCTTCCCTTCGTTACAGGCTTTGCCGGTAAAGATCATTAACGACCGGAATCTCTTACCCTCTCGTTAAAACCTTTTACGAGGGAGCAGTTTCCTCTCGTTGATGCTAAGAATTAATACAGAAAAACCTTTATAATTAATGGGCAATTAGCCAGTCATAATTATAAGGAAATCACAATGATATTAATTAATTGATTTCAAACTTTGTCATCGAAATGATTTGCCTCGATTGGTCGTGCGAACTCAAAAAAAATTACCCAATGTTCCAAATCTTATTTCATAAGCCTATTGGCTACAACCTTCCAATCATACAAATACAATCACAAAGATTCATCGTTGAAGCAAAAGAAAAGTAAAATCGAGCTAGAAGATAATACTTAGCAGGTCAAGCATTAAATACTACAATTATAAAAAAAGTCTCATACTGTTGAAGCCCACTCGATCGGCCTACTTTTCTTCCGTACCAGCTGACTCCCTCCCGATGAAGCCTGCACTCACAGAGGTGGGCCTTGTGGCCCGTTAGTCCTCCAACGCTCAATCAGTATCTTTCTTAGAGAGAGAAGTGCTTGCAATGCACAATTTTTAGTGAGAGAAGCCAAATTGAGTAAATGCTTACCCACCTCGCTATTTATAGCCGATCATTGCTTACCTGGACTTTCCTGTACGGATTCCCACGTCACCCTTACATTTAATGCAAGTGATCTCGGGCGCCCGCTCCGAAGGTGATTCCGGGCGCCCTCCCCAAGTGCGCACAACTCACCTTAGGCGCCTAGCACGCTAGTACTTCCATTCCGGATGCTCAGGTCCACTTGCTGTTCTGATCTAAACCCATGGGCGCCAATCACGGCCCACTCCGAAGTCCTGGGCGTGCTCCACTCTTCAGACTATTTGGGCTTTATGTCTCTTAACGGGCCTCACCCACGTGTCGAGGCCTTCTCATTCGCACACCCCCAACAATTGCCCCCTAGTTAGGTGCTCAAGTTTCGGATTTCTTGAGCGCCTAACTACTAGGCTTTTACTCCTTCCGCCTTTCATTGCGACCGCTGCTTGCCCCCCACTTCGCCGTGACCTTCATCCCTTTAGGACGGGAGTCTCAATCCTACTGAAACTCCTAGGCGCCCCTATTGGGCCATAGGCGCCCCTGATTCAGGTGCCTCCCTCGTTCTTTCACACGGTCCTCCTTCCTTCAGGCGCCTTCAATCCAACCCTAGTTTCTTAGTCGGCGCCCACTCATCGTACCCAGGCGCCTGGAGTAATCCGCCGCCTTTTAGTAGAAGCTCCCTTTTTCGGCACAGCAGTCTCGTCCCAAGCCCATAACAAACGTCCAATCGCTCTCTCGTCGTGCGTCCTAGT